AGTTTAAGTCAATGAAAGTAAAATACTTTTAATTAAGAATACAAATCCAACGCCCCATAATCATAATACCAAAGGGTGTTTTCATGACATAAACTATTTGCGGAAGCCGCATGTAGTCCATGATTTCTTCTTTCCGATTATTGCATCAATAAAGGCGACATTGATATCTATATTTCTTTTAGAAATATGGGAAAATCAGAGACATTGCATCCTTTAGTGCTGGAAAAATAGAAAGATGGAACTCGTCAGGTCCAACCCCCCCGAGCCCAACACCACATTTAAACGAAGATCTTAGACCTCAGCGGGGATACTCAAACAATAAAAAAAAAGCCCGCTCCCCTGGAAGGCGTGGAACTCCAAGGAAACGAGCAAAGCCCAAAACTTACTATTGACGAGCCCGAGGGCTCACATCAGGAGTTACTCTGATGAAAACAGTTTAAAAACATGATCTTAGCTAAATAGCCGAGAAGATATGACGGATCCAAACAGGACCTCCTAAATAGTACCTAAAGATTGCAACTTATGACAGGTTAAATTAAAATTTAATCATTAAAAATACAATGTCGGTCGCCGCCTTCCAACTAGTCCAGAGGTTTCGGCACTGTGCTCCAACTTCAGGGATCAAGGATCGAATCCCACTGCTCCAACATTTTTCTCACTCCCCCCTTGCGCTGGCGTAGGGTTCGCTCCCGTGCTTGAGGATAGGCGAGGAAGTAACCCATCCTCCAGGCTTCGCTACTCGTAATGGACTTGGGTGTCCCCAGTTCACTGAAATCTTTTCAGCAATGCGTTTCATTGGTCGAGGAACGTGTCACAGCAAACCCTCAGGATGTCCCATTGAGAAATAATGACGAACATGCAGACGGTCAGCGCCAAAACAGCCGTTGGGCTGGCTCAGAAAACGATCACACCCCCAACAGCGTGCCTGCCCCGAAGGTCAAGCGGGCGAGGTTGAAGCTGCCGAACAGGGCCCCGCCGTGCGAGATGACGTAGTTGAAGATGCGGGCGATGAGATTGCAGAGCCCGTAGACGTACGCATCCCCGGGCTACGAATGGAGGGACGGCTTGGCGAGGCTGACATCATGGCCCAGCCCGGCATTCCTTACCTTGCGGGGCGCAGGCAAGACAAAATCCGGCCATTCGGATGGGAGAGAGGTGCATGAATCGACCCCCGCCAATGGGCTGTTATCAGGCTTACTCAAGCGAGCGTTATGGGTGTTGTGAGACATGTAATAGTAAGAAGGCTTTTTAGGATGTTAACATTATACTTTATGTAAGTAGTTTCAAATACACAGGGAAGAAAGATGAGATGATCGATTCAGACACAGCTGTGCCGCATCACGACTGTGTGTGTAATGATGCTGAGGGATTGTGGTGGATTATCGCTAATCGTATTTTTATGAAAATATTTACCGTTTAAGCACAGAGACCTGTTAGCGATATATATATCTATATATATATATTAGCATATATAGTTATATACATACTCCATTTCAAAGGAGTATCCAACCGATCTGATTCCGAAACGCTGAGTTTTTAAGGGTTAATATTCGGATTTTCCTTCAATATTCTCTAAAAACAATTATATAGTATCAGCGATAGAAAGTAGAAGACTTCACACTGATGTAAGCCCATTGAGAACTTACATTCTTGGGTATATATATTTTTGCTTTAGCAGCCGATCAACATTGAAAAAAGAATAAAAAAGGAGAGCAGTCCCAACCATGAGATATCCATTACCAGATTCATGTGGACTGATCATAAAATACTACTGATGTGATATATATCACCACCTCAGATGCATTTATACGCATATAAGTAGTCAGTAGAATATGTCGGAGGAGTGCCCTCCATGGCAGAGAACCTTATGACTCTCTGTGGAAACACACATACGCATGCACCGTTACACGCCAGTAGCGGAAAGGGTTTCGGCTGCTTGCTAGCATATCGCAGCATCCACACTCTATGTGTCCAGGTTTCTTTCCCTTCTATTTATCTGGACCCGCGTTACGCTTCAACTCTAGAGTTTCAAGTTAAAATATTATATTTTAATATATTGTTAGAATAATGTTTATTAATCATCCTAGATTGTGACTGGCATTTTAAGAGCTGTGTATTTCATGTTCAACTAGTTGGAAATATCAGTATTTCAATAGGTTAGTTTCTGATTTATAAAGACCCTTAATTTAGAAAACTCCAGATGTCGGCCTATTGGGCGTGTAGTATCTAGTCATTTTCAGCATCTACCAGCGGGTAAGAGATGATATCTAAATCATATTTTGTTGTTAACAGAACTCCGAGTAGCTAAACAATGTTTTTTTTCTTTCCTCTCATCGATTATTTCGTTTATTGCTTTGAAGGAATATACTGGAGATGCAAAAAGAATTTCGGGAGTGATTCCTCATCCATTCTAATCATCATTGCTATTCACAGTTTATCATGCAATCCCACGTAATTTTAGTTTAGTATTGACTATGTTAGTCTTCCGAAAAAGTGAAGCAAAATCAACTTTGTGTATTTCGTCAGCCTCAGAAAGTAGGTTTTTCAGATTTGAAGAGTGCGTACCCTGTTGTTTCAGAGGAATCCGTAGCTATTGAAAACCTTTACCTTTTCGGAGTACGCTATCATTGTGGTTGAGAACGATACTTCTGGGCTCTGTAGCGTTGCCATCTTATAGGAAAGCACATTAGAAAGCTAATATGTCTTGGTTCCTATGTATTCCGACTTATTAATGTGAAAAATTATTACCTTTTCCCAGTACAAAGGGTTGTAAATGTTTAGAAAGTGTCTGTTGAAAAAGCATTTTTGAAACAATGAAGAACTATCGATGCGGTCGAATAATATGGACGTAGAAACAAATTGTTATGTTGAAAATACGCTACAGGTATTTTTTCCTCCTTTTCTTACCTCAACCTCTATTTTTAATTGTTAACAGCTTACTATTCTTTCACTGAATTTATTGAGCTGGACCACCATCTCAGAATCCACACATTTTACAAAATATAAGGTTTCTGTTCAATCCTACCGCACTAGTTATGTTATTTATGTTTATCTCATAATAAGTGTGAGCGTATGTAGGAAGGAGATACATACATACATATATAGATAAAAAATAAATAGAAATAAATATATAGATTTATTTACAAAGCAAGAAGGCATAAGAAAAGAGAGAATATCCTGTCTAGGATTGAATGATTTTTCTTAATACAATGCCTTTTTTAGTTGTTGTTCCGCTAACAATTGCTCCTCAGCCGTACCGAAGCGATGCGCTAAGATCACAACATAGCTCCACACATCACGCTGGCTACGTAGAATCCTTAAGATCGAGGTATCCAACACATCTATAATCTTTCGCACTTTGGAGCTATCACAGTGCAGATGTCCTAATACTCGAAGTATTTGATCATCGCTCGATGAATGCGTTAATCTGGCGGTAAATATCTTCTTACGTACAATGGCACTCACACGCTGTTCAATCCATCCAGGGAAAGAATCAAACGGCCCGTTTAAAAGTGCCTTTTCATCCAAAGCATTACTTACGTGTCTATCAATGTGCGCTTTTCGCATACAATCTGCACCGATCAATAGGTTATACAACCCCGTCTTTTCCATTGTATCGGAAAAACGTCTGATATCCTCAATCGTCGGAGTGCACCTTGTGATTAAACTACGCTCATAAATATAAATGAACTCGTCGTAAACATGAACAGCGGCCTTGGAGACGGAGGGAAACTCATCTTCCCGCATCAACTCCCAGCGTTTCGATGTCGTAGGCACGATATGATTTTCCTTTTGTGCTTCACAAAGAACGTCGTTTTCTTCTTTTGTCCCCCATTTTTCTGCGCTTTTCACAGCCGTATCACGTGCCGCGCGGAGGCTGGCAACATTTGGATACTGATTTGCATCCTCCCGCATCGAAAGGATGATTGTATACTCCAGCAACGTCGTCGGCAGATGCGGTGATACTACACCCAATTTCAGTAAGTACTCCATTTGTTTGCATATTAGGTGTAAAACCTCTCGTATCCGAAGCCCTACTATGGAGATGGGGGAAAAATGACGGGAAAGCGCGTAAAACTGCCCTGCGATGGTGTTCAGCTGTGTTGCGCGAAGCTTCGTTATGTGATACTCACAAACTGCGAGAAAGAACTCAACAAAATCGACCAGCGGCTCGCAGGAAAGAAATCCTGGTTCTTGCAGGATTGTTTTGATAAAAGATTTAGAAAGGGGTAGCTGATAGGGGGCTGTGAAGACGTTTTTTTGTATTTTTTTCGCTAGAGTGAAGAAGAGAAGATTCGAAGAACAACGTGTTTGTCGTATTACCTGAAATATGTTCAACAACCTATCCGAATTCGAAAAATCTACCATCGGCGCGAGAAGATGTCGAGAAACCTGCTCTGCTGAAACACGAAAAGGGATTCGAAACCCCCCAGCGATCTTCAAGAGCTCGAGGAACTCATCAACGCTAAGATCTGAAACAAGACGCACGCGATGCTCGAGGAGAACCATCGTTGGGGTAGTTACTATTGATTCCTCGAAATTCGCGGCTTCGGTTTCAAAAACGACGTTTTTAAGAGCTTGGTCGGCGAGGTTGTGGAATGTGGCGATTTCACCATAATAGTCGCCCCCCCGGAGTACCATTAGCAAGCGAAAAATCTGCCGCGTACTTAACCCCGAAAAGACATGTCCAACTTGCACCGAAGGACGCTCTTCATTTTCTTCATCTAAGTAGCATTTGTCAGGAAACTTACCCTTTTCTGGATTCGTGGAAGAAGAAAAAAAATCCATTGCACCCGACATTCGATCCTGCAGCTCGTCGTTTAGCTCTATCAAACGTCTGAGGGTTTGCCGCCAAAACGTCTCTGGAGCTCGCGCGTTTGTGTTCAAGATTGCTTCCATGAGCGAAATGATAGTATCGGGTGTTTTTAGTTCGTGAAGATCCGAAATCCCCGCGCGGGCGAGGCCCCCGACCAGAGAAATAGTCCTTGCTTCTCTAAAGAGCAGCTGCCCATTTGCGAGGATCGCGCGGGCGTCAATAGGGGGGATGCGATCCTCCCTAAGCTCCTCCGCGACCCACGCCCTTAGGCTCTTCATGATAAACCCAAACTGTGCGGCGCAAGCGGGGTCGGCCACCATGCTTTGCGGCCAGGGCTGCCGTACGA